GAGATTTTTTTCCCAGTGACCCAAAGAGTCATAATTGTGAGGGTCTTTCTGAATTATGCATCGTGAACTTGTATATGTGGATGAGTTTACATATGTTTATATATTTTTTCCAGCCTATGTAATATGGTTATGCAACGTTTGAGGCAGTTAGGCTTGAGGAGGGCATTCTTAGATGATTTGTTACTCAGTCATACAGCTATGTTGGGGCATTATGGAATTTTACTTATTCTCTCATTATAGAGGCCCAGAGCCAAATTCACATCTGTGTACTACTGTTCAATACATTTCTTTTTTTTTTTTTTTTAAGATTTTATTTATTCATTTGAGAGAGAGAGAGACAGAGAGAACACAAGCAGGAGTAGAGACAGAGGGAGAACGGACACTAGGGGGAGAGGGAGAAGCAGGCTCCCTGTGGAGCAGGGAGCCCGATGCGGGGCTCGATCCCAGGACCCCGGGACCATGACCGGAGCCGAAGGCAGATGCTTAACGACTGAGCCACCCAGGCGCCCCTGTACAATACATTTCTTAACTGGCTTTTAAAGAAAATCTAGGCAGAGTTGCATCTGATTTGCATCACATTTTCTACCCTGGTACTTTAATGCTTTGGCCCAGTAGTAGTAATGGTAGTAGCAGCAGTAGCCAACGTCAATGCTCTGAAAACTTTCAGTTCACCTAGGCTTCCCTTTATAGTCCATGGGCCCCCATCACGGTACAATGATTAGGTTTTACAACTGTCCACAACAATTTACTGGGGGATGAATGGGGATTCATGAAGGTTAAGTGACTTATCCAAGCAGCGGGAACTGGGACCGAAGCTGGATATTCTAGCTCTGTTCCTAGCAAGCGATAGGTCTTTGTCGTTCCTTCCTTCATTCATTCACTCATACATTCACAAAGAAAATATTTATAAAGCTCCTATGCTCTACCAGGTGCTCTTTTAGCTGTTGGAGGTATATCAATAAACAAAACTGGCAAGAATCTCTGCCCACGTGGAGCTTACATTTCAGGAGGTAGAGGGGAGACCATGGTAGATGACAAAAAAGTAAGTTCCGTAGTATATTGGGAGGTGATAATGTATAATTAGAAAACATAGAGCAGGTGGGGGAATTGGGAGTACCACTTTTTATATATTTTGAGAGGCAGAAACTAATTTTTCTACTTTCATCTGATACATCAAAATGACAGATTTTGTTCTAAACCTTTCAACGTATATCGCTTGGAACAATGTTTTGCTCCTTGCCTCCCTCCCCACTACCCCAAGAAGCACTGCTGTGAAGGATGGCTAAATCACAAGATCAGCTTACAGAATATATTCAATTCATTATGTATTTTAGTTGTAGTTAAAATCTAATGGTATTGTCAGCCTAACCAGTCCCCACAGTGGTTTTTTTTTCTTCCTCTGGTAAAATGCATTCCAGGCTCCAGGGGTGGGGGTGTCAGGAGCCTCATTGTATCATGTGACTCTTCAAGCTTTGGACTAAGCAACTGTCCATCCTGCTACTTTGTCCAGTATTGTGCAGCAGGGGCTTCCCTCATTCAAGCTCTTGATGGTGCCTCCTCCACTGCCAGAAGCTAGGCCATTGTTTTGGGAGGTGATGAATTTAAGGGAGGAAGGGATCAGTAGCCTAGCTTCTCTTCTTACAGGAGATGGGAAATTGACAATTGGAATGAATTGCAAGGGGGTGTCAGCTGGGATCAGTGGAGGAAAGGGGAGTCCCTGGTTTCACAGGGGGGCCAGTTAGTTACTGGGATGTTTGTGAGTCAGCAGTGGCCTTTCATCTCCTAGGGTATAGGTTTGTGTTGATAAATTCTGGAGATGGATTTACTTATGCTTTCTCACCTGATTTTCATAAAACCTAAAATCATGGCCAACTCCTCAGTTTGGCTTTTTCCATATAAGCAACTGGAAGTTTTTTTTTTTTTTAAATATTTGATGGAAAAAAAATATTTGATGGATGTAACTTTTATGTGTTAGTTTAACAGTATCCCAACAAAGAATTGGAAAATTTAAAAACTTGATGATTATTTTATAACCCTGATGTTCCTTCTTACTACTTTATTTTTATACTGTTTATTATTGTGATTTTGTTCATGAATACTGTCCTGGAAATATTGTTGCATAACTTCAAAATTTACCACTTTTAATAGCCATGTAAGACTGTATTGATGAATAGGTATTTGAATGTTTACCTGTTCGCATGTACTTTACCAGAAAATAGGGCTTGCCGAAAGAAATACATTAGGCTTTCAATTAGCTTGCTGCCTCTTTCATTAAACAATAGATATACATGAAACATAATAAGATAAGGTGAAATCTGACTGTCCAAAGGTGTTTATAATTTGGAAAAAGAAGGACTTTGTGGGCTAATGTGATAGGAAGCTTCATGGAAAATGTAGAAGGCTTTGTGGAGAAAGAGATCTAGAATTTAATTAGCTCTTGCCAGTTCCAGCGCTGCCTCTTCATCCAGACCATCGCCACGCCCCTCATCCTCCTCTTCTGTGTTACCCTGGCAATCTCTTCTCTAGAGAGCTGCCAGAGTAACAGTAATTCAGGTTAAATGACTCCTCTGCCCAGAACCCTCCCGTGGTTTCTCAGGTCACTCGTAATAAAACCTGAAGTCCTTAACAATAATCTACAAGGCTCTGCATGGTCTGGCTCTTGCCTTCCGCTATAATGGCATCTCCAGCTTGAATGCTCTTCAATACTCCTCTCCCTTCACGCCGGCCTCCCTGCTGTTCCTCACACACTCCAAACGGACTCCCTCGTCACAATCACCATAATCGCTCTTTCCTCCACCTTGAAAATATGTCTCAGCTATTTCCCTGGCTTACTCTCATTTCCTTCAGATCTCTGCTCAAATTTTGCCTCTTTACAGAGAGACCTTTCCTGAAGAACCAGAGTGTTTTTCTGAGCACATCCCATCACTCCCCAGCTCCTTTCCTTTATTTCTCTCCATAGCATTTTTTCCACTGACATATTTATGTACCTCTTTGTTTATTAGCTAATGGAAAGTAAGCTCCATGAGGTCAAGCAAGGATTTTGTTTTATTCCCCACTGTATGTCTTCTTCTAAAATAGTTCCTGGAATATAGGCAAGGCCTACTAAATATTCGTTGGATAAATAAATGAATTAAAAAATATGATCATGAACATTTTTTCTCTCCATATTGTTTATGTAGAATTGAAAGAAGGTCTAGTGATGATAATCAGCAGCAATATTTTCAGCGAACATCTAGGATTGAACTAGGTGTTTGTTTTAGAGTGCATCTTTTTTTTTTTTTTTTTTTTTTTTTTGGTTAGAATTTAGTGATTTCATCTGTTGCATACAACACCCAGTGCTCATTCCATCAAGTGCCCTCCCTAATGCCCATCGCCCAGCTATCCCTTCCTCCCACAACCCCTCCCCTCCAGCAACCCTCAGTTTGTTTCCTAGAGTTAAGAGTCTCTTATGGTTTGTCTCCCTCTCTGATTTCGTTTTGTTTTATTCCCCCCCTTCCCCTATGCTCCTCTGTTTTGTTTCTTAAATTCCACATATGAGTGACATCATATGATACTTGTCTTTCTCTGACTGACTTATTTCACTTAGCATAATACCCTCTAGTTCTGTCCACATGGTTGGAAATGGCAAGATGCCATTTTTTTGATGGCTATATAATATTCCATTGTGTATATATACCACATCTTCTTTATCCATTCATCTGTCGATGGACATCTATGCTCTTTCCATTGTTTGGCTATTGTGGACATTGCTGCTATAAACACTGGGGTGCAGGTGCCCCTTCAAATCATTATGTTTGTATCCTTTGGATAAACACCTAGTTGAACTAGGTGTATTAAAACTCCCCTCCTGCCTCCTTTTCCCTCCCATGCACACCCACTGCCTCCAGGATCAAACCCATGCTCCTTAGTCGGGCATTCAAAACCTTCCAAGAAGGTCTCATCTGTGTTGACCTTTCCAGCTCCACTTCTCTGCCAAGCCCTCACCTTCACGGCTCATGCTGCAGTCCTAAGGAATGACTTGTAATTCCCCTTACGTGCCCCTTGCAGATGTCTCTTGCAGCATCTCTCACATTTTGCTGCTTGTTTTTAATGGGTGTCTCCTTACAGCATATAAGCTCTTCAAAGTAGGGGACCTGGCATATGTTCATATTTCCAGGACTTGGCACAGTTCCTGGCAGATCATAGATGGTCAGAAAATACTTATTGAATGCCAAAGATGGTTTTGCCTCCAAGACAGAGATTAGTGGGAACTTGAAGAGGTTGGATATGGAACAAATAAATTGATGAAAGCAGTTTCATCTCATTAGACAGCTTGGTTTGCGGGTGTGTCCCGGGACAAATGGGATTGAAGAGAGCACAATATTAGAAAACTGTAATTTTTAGCACAGTATTAGAATACTCTAATTCTGTTGGAATACTCTAGTTTGGGTGAAGAGAGATGGCATATAACTTGATTGAATCAGTACACTCAGCTAAGAAAAACAGCTTATATGAGAGGAAGGGTTATTTGACATGTGTTGTTTGGAAACAAGTGCAACCGTCTGGCAGGGGTCTGACTGTAGACCTATCAGCCCTATTATTCAGCCTGTGAGAATCATGCCACATAGTGACGCTGCTCATCCTGCAGACATAGTACGAGGGGGAGAATTCAGGGCAGTAGTGGTGCGTTCATGTCCTTGCTCATGACTGTGGAGGGTTAGGTTAGACTCAACCTGATCTCAGTTCGGTGGGAAAGAAGGCTGTGAAAATCAGGTTACATCTGGCAAGGGTGTGAGGGAGGGAAAAAGACTGTATTTGTTTTACATGTTTGTCATCCCTAGTTGATGGTTGGTATTATCTGTGCTGATTCCGTGGATCTATAATCAGTTGGCCTGGCATAGTTGAATATGTGGACATGTTTTATGTAATTTTAATAATATGTATTTTGAAAAATGTAAGCATCATAGAGTCAAGGAGGCTATTGGTTTTAAAAGATTAAAAACTGTTTTTTTTCTAAATAGGTTTGTTACAGAAAGAGAAAATGGCTATTGAAGCATTTCAGATTTGCTGCCTCCTCCTGCCCCCTGAAAATAGGAGAAAGTTACAGCTCTTGATGAGGATGATGGCAAGGATATGCCTAAATAAGGAGATGCCACCACTGTGTGATGGCTTTGGGACCCGAACACTGGTAGGTTGATCTCTAACATCTAACTTGACTTGAGTTTTTGGAATACAATTCACCTGAGTAAAGTTTACTAGCTTGGCAACCCAAGGAAGGCACCAAGTCAGGCTTGCTCAAAGAGCCACGGCTTGGAAATCGTGCAGGTGGGATTACACTTCCAGTATTGGTGTCTTAAAAGAACACAATGGAAAGCGAAGAGTGAGTAGGGATAGAGTCTGAGTGTAGAGGTATTTGCGGTCTTCTGCCTACTGTCAACTTAAAGAGAAGGGAGCCTGGACAGTACAGCTAAGGGTTCTTTCAAGAAAAGGACATACTTTCCTCTAGGACAGAAAGGGATGCAAAGCATTTGTTACTCTAACAAGTAGGAGAGGGGAAGCACATATAATGGGGTAAAGAGGAAAGAAGTAAAGAGGAAAGAGTTGGACTAGACAGCCTGGTGGGAGACAGAGAATGTGTTCTCTTGGGATATGATCTAAGAGTCTGGGAGTGAGGTTATTTCTTAAGATATTTTCAATTTGGTTTAAAAACATACATGCTAGCTTTGAATTCTACTTTGTTGGTGCCAGCATGTCTTTATTTTAAAATAGCGTTTATGTTTAGAATTTCTTCTACATGATTTCTTAATTTTCCTCAAAATTGGGGGTCTTGGAGCAAAATTGTTGCTTCATTGGTGAACCTTTCCATATCCTGGTGAACCACAGTATACCCCTGGGGGGTCCTCTGGCCCTGTTTTAGAAGTGTGGAGTAAGAGTAGAGGATCACTCAGTGCCCAGTAGAGTGATTCTTGACCTTCCTTTTGGTTGAGTAGATGGGTAATGGGGCTAAGGGAACCTTCTGAAAAGCTGAAGAAAACTTTGCACCTATTCCCCAGAAGAATGCACATGTAAAATTTTGCATAGAATTTCAAGGCATTAAGTTTCCCCAGTGTCCATAGTCTCCAGGTAAAAAATGTCTGTGTCTCTGTACACATAATGTGAGCGCGGGTAAGATATCATCTGCAGTATGTTGATGAGGACATGAGGTCTAATTAGACAGAATTACATGATTTCATGCTTACAGGTTTTGAAATAAGATTGTCAGCAATAAAATTAGTAGGAAAAGGAAAAAAAACTCCATCCAAATCATAGTTAATATGAATTCCATGGAAGCAGCTACATAAATATTTTTTGTATTTCTGCTTATTGTAAAGTCTCATCACTTAATGCACTTGTTATAAAGTCTCATCGTTTTGTTCAAATGTGATTATCAAATATACACCCAAAATCCTAGAGAAAGTAACAGTTAACTAGGAAAAAGTGTAACAGCTGAGGCACATAGATTGTGCTAGCAGATTTCTAAAAAATCAAAATGAAATAAGGCTATTAGTAAACTGAATGGCTTTAAAATACTTTGAACTTAAAAGTGCTACATGATTCAAGTAATGGTGGTGATCATGATTTTCAGGATTTGCTTATATATATCTAAAACTGTCTGTAAAGGGGTGTGCTTTAAAAACTGCTCAGACAAGTGTCTCTGCTGAGTCTCTGTGAGATGAGATGCACCTTCAGTTCCTGCTGGTTGTTAAGAAGATCAGCCCATTGAGACGACCAGGTGTGGCCAGGCACCAAATAGGATGTGTCCCCTGGGCTGTGAGCCATTTCTCACTGACTGGTCACCTTTGGTTTTTGCAGATTTATTGAATGCAATACAGCATAGGAAAAAAAAAAAAAAAAACCTCATCTGTGTTTATTTAAAAAACACCTCCCCCTCTTTTTTCAGATGGTTCAGACCTTTTCCCGTTGCATCTTGTGTTCCAAGGATGAAGTAGATTTGGATGAGTTATTAGCTGCTAGGTTGGTGACATTTCTGATGGACAATTACCAAGAGATTCTGAAAGTCCCTTTGGCCTTGCAGACCTCCATAGAGGAGCGTGTGGCTCATCTACGAAGAGTCCAGGTAAAGGAAGGGATATTAACAGTCCTTTAAAATTGCCAGCAGAAAGTTGTGTAAACTTGCAAGTCTTCTTGGGATTTCTAGATGTGAAGGATTAAGTGAATAAATGTGTACAAAATGCTTCCAACAGGGTTTGGTACATGGTAAGCACTATGTGTGTTTGGTAATTTTGAAAATTTATGGAATGCTCACCTGGTTTGGTTATGTCAGTCAGTGCTGCATACTTCTGATTGCAAATTCCTTCAACGGTAACCTGCCTTTATTTTAGTTTCCAAAGGAGTTAAAATGGGCCTTCCCTGCCCTATAAAACTGTTGTGAAGAGTAGAATACTCTACTATAAAACCCCTAGCTTAAATGTGTGACATAGAGCAGGTACTCTTTGAAAGGTAGCTATTGTTATTGTTGTTATTGTTATATTAAAATGATGCAAAAGAAATGTAATACATGACTGTTATGTGGGCCCCAGAGCGGAGTGTGTATGTCAGCCTGAGGGAGCAGGCACTTGGTAAAGGCAGACAGAGGTCTACTTGGCTCCTGAATGAGCGGCTTAAGCACTCTTTGATGTTCCCCAATTAAGGCCCGGTGAACTGCTACCTCCTGAAGGATTATGAAAGTCAATAACTCTTCATGTTTTCAGTGTGCAATATAAAAATTAAAACAGGGGCGCCTGGGTAGCTCTGTCGGTTGAGTGTCTGACTCTTAATTTCAGCTCAGGTCATGATCTTCAGCTTGTGGGGGTGAGCCCCCCTCCACCTCGAGCTCCACGCTCAGGTGGGAGTCTGCTTCTCTCCTTCTCCCTCTCCTTCTCCCCCCACTGCCATGCTATGTGTGTGTGTGTGTGTGTGTCTAAAGTAAATAAATATTAAAAATATTATTAAAAATTAAAATAGTTTTGGTAATTATCAACCTTAAATATGTTGAAAGAATTGGAAAATATAGAAAATGCACACCAAAAACTATAGGGGCGCCTGGGTGGCTCAGTCGTTAAGCGTCTGCCTTTGGCTCAGGTCATGATCCCGGGGTCCTGGGAACGAGCCCCACATCGGGCTCCCTGCTCTGCGGGAAGCCTGCTTCTCCCTCTCCTTCTACTGCTTCCTCTGCTTGTGCTCTCTCGCTCTCTCTGTCAAATAAATAAATAAATAAAATCTTTAAAAAACAAACAAACAAAAAAAATCCTATAAGAGTAACACCCAATGTTCAGTTAGTATTACGGTCTTTTGGGTGTTTTTCTGTGCCTTGTCTTCTCTTTTCTCCTTTTCTTTTTCTTTTCTCTTCTATTCTCTTTTCTCTTCCTCTCCTCTCCTCTCTTCGCTTTTCCTTCCTTCTTTTCCTTCCTTCCTTCCTTCATTCCTCCCTCCCTGCCACCCTCTCTCTGTTTTATACCTTATTTTCTCTTGACAATACACCAAGAAATATTTCCGACATCACTAAATATTCTTGACTGACCCCAGGTGGTTGAGGGCACAGACCCTGGAGCTAAGTGGTGCTTGTATTCCTCATGTGCCCTTTATTGGGGCACATTTGTGTCACAAATGTGACCTCGGGCACATTTTATTTTATTTTATTTTATTCTATTTTATTTTTTTCCCGTTGTGGGTATGTTTTTATTTTTTTTTCTTTTCCAGTTTTTTTTTAAATTTTTATTGTTATGTTAATCACCATACATTACATCATTAGTTTTTGATGTAGTGTTCCATGATTCATTGTTTGTGCATAAAACCCAGTGCTCCACACCCGGGCACATTTTATAATGTGTCTCTGTTTTAGCCTGTACCCGACATCTCTCTTTTCTCATCTGTAAAGCGGGATAATAACAGTTAATACCTACCTCCTAGGGTTGTTTGAGGGATTGAATGGCTTAAGATGTATAAAGTGCTTAGAATGATATTTATCACATAGTGGCCCCTCGGTAGCTGCTGTGGTTAATATTATTATCATCATTAGTGTTATATTATTCCACAATATTGTTATTATTGGTAGTGTAGTATTCCATAATATGGATATATACCATAATTTATTTAAATGGTTTTCTTTGGTTAATATTTAGATGGTTTCCCTTTTCCCCTCTATTTTGCAAATAATACAATGGTAAATATTTTTGTAGCTAGATTTTTTGGGGGGGGATGATCCATGATTATTTTCTAAGAAAAATTTTTAGGAGTGGCATTGTGTGGTCAAGGGCCAGGGATGTATTTAAATATTGGTTGTATATTGCCAAATTTCCCTTCAGAATGATTGTTCTGACCCATATTCCCATGAGTGGTCTAAGAAACCTTGCCTACTTCTCATTAACATACATATCTTTGCAATTTTTATTGAATAAAAAATGTAACCTTAAGCGCTGCTTTAGTTAAATCCCTTCCCTCCAATATTTTTATGACCCATACTTAAAAAAAAAAAGAGAAGAAAAGAAATACTGAAATTCTGCAAGGAGAAGTGATAGCAATAGCGATGTTGCCCTGTGTACTCACTCGGTTCGCGGTTCCCGTAGCACAGGCAGACACTGCAGCAGCTTGAGCCCTTCGCTCTCTGTTGAAGATCAGAAGGCTGAGCTCTGCTTATGCTTTAACGACAGATTAGCATGATCTCATGGAGAGGCACTGCCCAGGCGCTAAGTGAAACCAGTAACCACTCATTTGTCAATTACATTTTCTCTTGGAAGTACTCAGAATCGCCCAACAATTGTTTCAGTACCCAGAGATCTGCTCACTCATGTCGACTGCTCGGCCCTGACAGCATGTCAGATTCTGGGCAGGGCTTCTCTGAAAATGAACAGTGTTCCTTGGATTATTTCAGGGAAGTTTCAGGGCTGACCCTGTGATAGATAAATTGTGAGGTGGGCATTGTCTTTGACACCAACCTTCTGTTAGCCTTGACTGCAACCCTCTTCCGTTTGTGCCCTTTAATCATAGGTATCTAGTAGTTTTCTTACTAGGCTTCTGGCTGCAGAAGAACAATAGGTGTTATATTTGTGGGAAGATGGAACTCTTTTGGAGTCTGAAATTAAATACTTTTTAATTTCTTTGTTATTAAAGTAACATTGACATACAATGTTATGTTAGTTTCAGGTGTACAGCAGGGTGATTCAACAATTCTGTACATTAGTGGTCCCTGCAATGAGTGTAGTCACTATTCAACATTATTACATTATTGACTGTACTTTCCATCTCTGTGACTTATTTATTTTATAACTGGAAGTTTGTACCTTTGAACCCCCTTCATCGATTCGCCAACTTCCCCCCAGCCCTGTACCCCCTCTTCCCTGGCAACCACCAGTTTGTTCTCTGTATTTGAGAGTCTGTTCAGTTTTTTAATTTGTTTGTTTTGTTTTTATATTCCAAATATAAGTGAAATCATATGATATTTGTCTTTCTCTATCTGACTTATTTCATTTAGCATAATACCTTTTAGGTCCATCCATGTTGTCACAAATGGCAAGATAACATTCTTTTTATGGCTGAATAATATTCCATAGTATATATACTACATCTTTTTTTAATTTTAAATTCCAGTATAGTTAACATACAGTGTTATATTAGTTTCAGGTGTATGATATAGTGATTCATCACTCCCATACATCACCCAGTGCTCATCACGACAAGTACCCTCCTTAATCCCCATTTTACCCATCTCCTCCCACCTCCCCTCTGGTAACCATCAGTTTGTTCCCTGTAGCTGAGAGTCTGTTTCTTGGTTTGTTTCTCTCTCTCTCTTTTTTTCCTTTGCTCATTTTCTTTTGTTTCTTAAATTCCACATATGAGTGAAATCATATGGTATTTGTCTTTTTCTGACTGACTTATTTTGCTTAGCATTATATTCTCTAGCTCCATCCATGTTATTGCAAATGGCAAGATTTCATTCTTTTTGATGGCTGAGTAATATTCCGTTGTGTGTGTGTGTGTGTGTGTGTGTGTGTGTGTGTGTGTGTGTGTGTATACCACATCTTTATCCATTCATCTGTGGATGGATGCTTAGGTAGCTTCCATATCTTGGCTATTATAAATAATGCTGCAATAAACATAGGGGTGCACATATATTTTCAAATTAGCGTTTTCATTTTCTTTGGGTAAATATCTAGAAGTGGAATTGCTGGATCATAGGGTAGTTCTATTTTTAATTTGTTGAGGAACTTCCATACTGTTTTCCACAGTGATTGTACCAATTTTTATTCCCACCAACAGTGCATGAGTGTTCCCTTTTCTCCACATCTTTGCCAAGATTTGTTATTTCTTGACTCTTTGGTTCTAGCTATTCTGACAGGTGTGAGGTGGTAATCTCATTGTAGTTTTGACTTGTGTTTCCTGGATGATTAGTGATGTTGAGCATCTTTCCATGTGTTTGTTGGCCATCTGTAGGTCTTTGGAAAAATGTCTATCCAGATCATCTGCCCATTTTTAAATCAGATTATTTGTTTTTTTGGTGTTGAGTTATGTAAGTTCTTTATATATTTTTAATGGTAAACCATTAAAAGTGGATATATCACGTGCAGATATTTTTTCCCATTCACTAGGATATATTATGTGCAGATATTTTCTCCCATTCACTACGTTGCCTTTTTGTTTTGTTGAGGGTTTCTTTTGCTGTACAAAGTTTTTTTAAATTTTAGTAGAGTCCCAGGAGTTTATTTTTGCTTTAGTTTCTCTTGCCTGAAGAGAAATATCCATAAATTTCTTGCTTAGAGTGATGTCCAAGAGATTATAGACTATGTTTTCTTCGAGTTTTAAGGTTTCAGGACTCACATTTAGGTCTTTAACCCATTTTGAGTTTATTTTTGTGTATGGTGTAAGAAAGTGGTCTGGTTTTATTCTTTTGCATGTGGTTGTCCCATTTTCCCAGTACAATTTATTGAAAAGATTGTCTTATCCCATTGTATATTTTTGCCTCCTTTGTCATAGATGAATTGACCATATATGCGTGGGTTTATTTCTAGGCTCTCTATTCTGATCTCTAGTTTGATTTGATCTATGTGTCTATTTTTGTGATAGTACCATACTGTTTTGGTTACTATAACTTTGTAGTATAGTTTGAAACCTGGGATTGTGATATCTCCAGCTTTGTTCTTTTTCTTCAATATTTTTTTGGCTATTTGAGGTATTTTGTGGTTCCATACACATTTTAGAATTACTTGTTCTTGTTCTGTGAAAAAAATGCTATTGGTATTTTGATAGGGATTGCTTTGAATCTATAGATTACTTTGGGTAGTATGGGCATTTTAGTGATATTCTTCCAATCCATGAATGTGGTATATCTTCGCATTTGTATTGTCTTCAGTTTCTTTCATTCAGAGTACAGTCTGTTACCTCCTTGGTTAAATTTATTCCTAGGTATTTTATTCTTTTTGGTGCAATTATAAATGGAATTATTTTCTCAATTTCTCTTTCTGCTATTTTATTATCAGCATACAGAATCACAATAGATTTCTGTATATTAGTTTTGTATCCAGCAAGTTTACTGAATTCATTTATTACTTCTAATAGTTGTTTGGTGGAGTCTACGGTTTTTTGTGTGTAGTATCATGTCATCTGCAAATATTGACCATTTTACTTCTCCCTTCCCAGTTTGGGTACTTTTTATTTCTTTTACTTCTCTGATTGCTGTGGCTAGGACTTCTATACTGTGTTAAATAAAAGTGGTGAGAATGGTCATCCTTATCTTGTTCCCAATCTTAGAGGAAACGCTTTCAGCTTTTTACCATTGAGTATAATCTTAGCTGTGGGTTTTTCAGTGTGCCCTTTGTTATGCTGAGGTAAGTTCTTTTACGTTTTTTTGAATAGTTGGAGAAGAATAGGTATTAACTCTTTTTTAAATGTTTGGTAGAGTTCACCTGTGAAGCTGTCTGATCCTGAATGGTTGTTTGTTGGGAGTGTTATGGTTACTATTTCACTTTCATTAATAGTAGATCTGTTCAAATTTTTAATTTCTTTCTGATTCAGCCTAGGAAGATTATGTTTCTAGGAATTTACCCCTTTTTTTCTAGGTTGTTCAATTTGTCAGAATAAAATTTTTCATAATTTTCTCTTATAAGCCTTTGTATTTCTGTGGTGTTAATTCTCCTCCTTTATTTCTGATTTTATTTATTTGAGTTCTCTTTTTGTCTTGTTAAGTCTGGCTAAAGGTTTATCAATTTTGTTTTTCTTTTCAAAGAAAGAGCTCTTGGTTTTTTTTTTTTTTACTCTCTATTTCATTTATTTCCACTCTAATCTTTATATCCTTCCTTGTCTTAGCTTTGGACTTTGTCCTTTTTTTCTAGTTCCTTTAGGTGTAAGGTTAGGGTGTTTATTAGTGGTTTTTCTAGTTTCTTGAGATAGGTCTGTATCACTATAAACTTCCCTCTTTGAACTGCTTTTACTATGTCCTGAAGATTGGGACCATTGTGTTTTCATTTAATTTGCCTCCATGTATTTTTATTTCCTCTTTGATTTCTTCACTGACCCATTGGTTATTTAGTAGCATGTGTTTGTGTTTTTTCTAGGTTTGTTTGTTTGTAACTGATTTCTACTTTTACACTATTGTGGTTGGAAAAGATGCTTGATCTAATTTCAGTCTTCTTAAATTTATTGAGATTTAAATTTATTGTGGCCTAACATGTGATCTATCCTGGAGAATGTTCCATGTGCAGTTGAAAAGAGTGTATATTATGCTGTATTTGAATGGAACGTTCTGTATGTATTAGGTTCACCTAATCTAATGTCTTGTTCAAAACCACTATTTCCTTGTTGATTTTCTGTCTGGATGACTTCTCCATTGATGTAAGTGGGGTGTTAAAAACTCCTATTATGATTGTATTACCATCAATTTCTCCCTTTATGTTTGTTAATATTTGCTTTGTGTATATAGGTGTGAAATTAAATATTTTTAATGGATGTTCATTTATTTATAAGTCTTTCCTCTTTTTTCTCCATTCTCCCTTTTGCCTTGTACAGTGTCTGCACATTTGTTTTCTTGCTTTTCACTGTTAACATATTTGGAGATGGTCGTAGTACTTCTCCATACATAACAGCCATGCTTATGTGTGCCTCTATCCATTCCCAAGGAAGGGGGGATCAGATTCTCCAGATGTGGGAAGGAACCCCCAGAAGGTACTCAGTATTGTAATTGTTTTGAATCATTTTTGTCAACATGTTTAGTTTATGTTTCAATTTAAGATTATATTTAAAAGAGCACACCAGGTGTTTTGTTTATTAAAATGGATCTTGGGTTTAAAATGGTAAGAATCTCTTATTTAAAACTGTGGTTTTAAGTGATTTTTTTTTCAAGTTTATAAAAACACTTTTGCTTTTTAATAGAGTTTTTCCCAAACGAATTGAAGAATGACATGGCATTCCTAGTGGGAGATATTCTGTATTTGATCTGAACCAATTTTGCAACTTATATGAAAATACACTTATTTCTTTCACTATTAATACTTTTGCCTCAGATAAAATACCCAGGAGCTGATATGGATATCACTTTATCTGCCCCATCATTTTGCCGTCAAATCAGTCCAGAGGAATTTGAATACCAGAGAGCATATGGCTCTCAGGAACCTCTGGCAGCTTTGCTGGAGGAAGTCATAACAGATGCCACACTTTCCAGCAAAGAGAAGAAGAAAAAACTGAAGCAGGTAAAAAGGATATTCTTTAGAAGCCATTTCTTCTGCCTGCTGTTCTTAATATTGTTTTTTCTTTTTATTCTCTATTTTAGTGGATTTCATATTAATCTCATCTTCTGAGATGTAGCAGTTTTGAAAGTATATTATTCAATTCATATATTCCAGAAGTCTCATGGATGTACACAGTTGTGGTCAGTTTCCCACATCTTTTTCTCCAATGTAGATATTTTACCATAATTGCGCTCTTCATTTAAGGAGCCGCTCTTCAGAGAAGCTATCAAATGAGAACAGATTCCTCTTGATTTTTCCTGAAAGGCAAATTACATTGAATTTGCTGATATAAGTTGTGTAAAATTGAAGAGGCTTTGGTTTTAGATAGCCAGTATCAAATTGGTTTCTTGCCTCAGGCATCCCTGAAAGTGTTTAGTTCCTGCTAGGCAACACAGCTTTGGGTTTCACTGAAGAGTTTTCATTTTTAACTCAAAATAGATTTTACTTTGACCATTCTTAAAGTATTGACTCAAGATTAAGGGAATGGTTTTTATTTTTCAAGACTGATCCCTGCAAGCTTGATTCCTGATCATACCATACATATGGGATTATACACAGAGCATCAGAGTTCTAGACTCCTAATCATATTTTTCTCAGTAATTTTGGAGAAGAGTTCAGTGTTGAGGATCAAAGGAAAAGCATATTGCCTCTCTTTAAGCTTTTCATAAAGTAATATATACTGGAACGTTTTCCCTTCCATTTGAGCAGAAGCAGGTGGGGCTGAGTTGGAGAAGCAGGGAGATCGTGAAATGTAATTGGGCCAAAATTTTCTTGAACTGTACAGAACATAAGTTATTTTCAAGTCAGAATTACTTGTGAATATTTTTAAAGTCTATTTATAGTTAGCAAGTGGGGGGGAAATTTTAAGAAATATGACCGAAATGAGTTTGTTTGAAGATTGGATCAAATTAAAGTTGAATTAGATCTATAGCAAGTGGAATCAAATGATCTCACAAAAAGAAATGGGTTTGTGTTGGAGTGAATTTAATTATGATTTGTCATCATCTTATTCTCTTTTCTGATGGAGAGCAATAAACATTAAAACAAAGTAAAGACAGGCTAGTATGGAATCAGATCAGAAACTCTTTAATTTTAAAATTAGATCACCTAATTTTATTGGTTCTTACCTGGTTTTTTGACTCATCTTGAATCTTTTTTTTTTTTTTTCAGTTTCAAAAATCCTATCCTGAAGTCTACCAAGAACGATTTCCTACACCAGAAAGTGAAGCACTTCTGTTTCCAGAGAAACCGAAACCCAAACCACAGCTGCTAATGTGGGCACTAAAAAACCCTTTCCAACCATTTCAAAGAACTAGAAGTTTTCGGATGTAGTACTCCCATAGCTGTTAGAGATCTCTGTTGTTGCCTTGAGCAAATGGGTGGTTAGAGGACTATGGCGGTGGAAAAGAAGAGCAGACAGTAGAGACTACTGAAATATAAAGTGAACGGACTCCTAAAAATGTTGAGCCATTATCAGTATTTTTGTAAAGCTCAGTGCTATTTTTAAAAGTGTAAAAATCAGTGAAAATTTAGACAAATATATAGTGTTAATGTTAACGTGTTTATAATTATTACAAAATTTAAGGGTATTTTTATTTTTTTATTTGTTGTTTTTCATGGTGTTAATAAAATAATTGTGTGTATGTTTTAGTTACTGATGTCTTTGTTATAACACGTCTTAAAAATAGTGTATATACTTGAATAAGACACTGGGTACTGTTACTGTGATGTTATTGATGTCATAGCTTAATAGTTATGATTTCTCTTGTGTAAAATCTGGTTTTCAATGTTGCACAAAAATTCTTAATGTCCTGTATTATGATGGCTGTGTCTTTTATTGCGGATTTGTTGGATGTTATGACAGATATAACTAAAGCTGGTTCTTTAATAACATGTATATTAGCTGGTGTTTACCTCTAAGTGGAGTAGATTTTCATTTTCCTGCAGTGGTGTAATTTCAGTCTTGGCTGAAAACGGAGAATTGAACTGAATAAACTTTTTTGGTCCCCTTACACCTGTAATTGTATTTCAGATCTTTGTTATTTCATGAAAAACACAAATGGGTTAAGTAAAATGAGACTACTTCCTTTATATTTCCCCCAGCTTCCTCATCCTTTTGAAAGTAAATGGAATGTAAATAAATACTGTTTTTTGTTTTTTTATATTTTATGTGGTTCTGCTTTGGCCTTTATTTAGGTTAGTTATGGAACATCCTCAAATGCTAAACATCATTATCTTTGCCAGTGTTCTCACATCAGTCACCTATTTCTATGATAAGTGACATTTAGGCTTTTGTACTAACCTTCAGGAGGTGCTTTGTCCATTTCTTTTGCTTTGCTTTGCCCTTTTGCAAATAATGGTACACTTAGATTATGGAGCATCTGGAAGCTTTCTTTATAAGCAATTACCCTAAATCTTAAGAGTAACAGTCACTAGTTGGCTTGTTCTGCCCTTTGGACTGAATTTTCCTTGCCTTTGTGATCTGACCCTGTTCTTTTGTAGCAGATGCTTCCTACATTTGATTCAGATTTTGTTTACTTAAAAATGGATAAAAGTATCCCTATTGATTTGGGTACCACCTTTCCTTCCAAATATATAACGTAATGGGAGATTTTTAGTGTTTCAATATTTGTTTTCAGACCTTGGGATAATGTTTAGAGCAAAGAATAAGTCTACTTCTGCTCTCTTTGCTCCCCAATGCAGAATGTACTTTCCAGAGTCTCCTCTCCTATTGAATATCTTTAGAAATATATGCAACTGTTTTTTTTTCCCCTTAAGATTACATTTTTTTAAAAGATTTATTTATTTATTTTAGAGAGAGAGCATGGGGTAGGAGGGGCAGAGGACGAGGGAGAGAGAATCTCCAGCAGACTCCCGGCTGTGCGAGGAGCCTGATGTGGGGCCTGATCCCACGACCCTGAGATCATGACCTGAGCCAAAATCAACAGTCAGATGCTTTACCAATTGAGCTACCCAGGTACCCCAAGATTACTTTAGAGAAAAAAATATAATTCACTAAAACATCACCACTACCTAAGTATGAAATTGCTGAGCGGATAATACCAGTCTTTCAAAGTGGTTGTACAGTGAACTCCCATTGGCAGTGTGAGTTCTTATTGCTTAATGTCCTCACCAAAAGTTGCTATTGTCAGTTTGAATTGTCATCAATGAGGTGGGTGTATAATCGTATCTCATTATGGTTTTACTTTGCTTTATTAATATGGCTAAAGATGAAGACTTTTTCCACATTTTTTTTTACTTTTTCCACTTCTAGTCAAATTTAAATATCAGCTTCTCAAGCTTCATGTGTGCACGCGCACATACACACACACAGTTGGGATTTTGATTTGGATTGTATTGAATTTATAAATCAATTTGGAAAGAATTGCTATCTTTACAATATTAAGTCTTCCAGTTGAAGAACATGGTTTATCTCTCCATTTATTTAGAATAAATGAGAAAAAAATAAATTTATCTGTAAAGGCTTGTAAATTTTTTGTTAGATATGTTCCTAGATATTTGATACTTTTTAAAAAATGTTAGTATCAAAATTTTCAAATATTCACAAAAGTAAAGATAGTAGTACCCATCCCTAACTTCAGTAATTATTATTCAACTGATAAATACCTTGATGTTTGATCAAACTGTAAATGGGGTTATTTCAAAATTTCTACTTTCTGTTTCTTGCTCATATATAGCATAAAACTGACTTTTGTGCACTGATTTTTATACCCAACCTCCTTGCTAGACTTTTCTATTAATTCTAAGTGTCCAGTGTGATTTTTTTTTGGATTTGCTACATTCACTACATAATAAGCAAACAATGACAGTTTTTTGTTTTTCATTTCTGTGGTTGACAGCATTTAAAAATGTCCCCAGTGATCCCTGCCCCTTGGTATTTGTCCCAGTGTGTAATCTTTCCTTGAGTGTGAGTTGGATCTAGTGACATATTTCTAACAAACAATATGGCAAAAGCGATAGGATATCTCCTTTGAGATTAGATCACAAAAGGCTCTGGTTTCCATCTTGCTTGCTGTCTCCCTCTCTCTCTCCCAGGCCTGCTCTGAGGAAAGCCAGCTGCCCTGTGTGAGCTGCCCTACGGAGAGGCCCATCAGGCAAGAAACTCCTGTCTCTGCCTACTAGCCAGTGAGGACACGAGGCTTGCCAACAGCTGTATGATCTTGGAAGTGGATATTCTGAGGTTTGCCCTCAGCCACGTGAGTGATCTTGGAAGCACCTTCTCTCAGTCAAACCTTGAGGTGAAGGCAGCCTTAGCTGACACCTTGACAGCAGCCTGGGACAGGCCCTGAGCCAAAGGACTCAGCTAAGCTGTGCCTGGATTCCAGACCCACAGAAACGGTGAGGTAGTAAATATTGGTTTTTTCTAGCCGCTTAATTTTGGGGCAGTTTGTTATGACGCGGTAGATACAATACACCTAATTCTTATTCCCTCCCTTACTCCCTCCTTCCCTTCGTCCCTCCTTTCATCCTGCCGTCCGTCATTTTTTAAAATTATTATAAAATGTCGCTATCTCTGGTAATGCATTTGTTTGCAGTCTTTTCGTTTTGTTATATTTTAGTTGTGTCCCTTATAAACAGCATATGGTTGGATTAATTATTTTTTTAAGATGCCAGCATGACAATTTTTGTTTCTAACTGTAATGTTTAGACAAATTATATTTAATATAATTACTCTATATTTAGATACAAATATTTATTGATGTTTTATAGCCCTGTCTCCACTTTCTTGACTTTGAATCTTACAAATCATTTCATGTTTTCTCCTACTAATTTGAAACTAAGCATTGTTTCTAATCTTCTTGTTGGGTCCTTGAAAATTACATCTTATAGGGGTGCTTGGGTGGCTCAGTCGTTAGGGTTCTGCCTTCGGCTTGGGTCATGGTCCCGGGGTCCTGGGATCAGGCCCTGCGTCAGGCTCCCTGCTCCGCGGGAAGCCCTCTTCTCCCTCTCCCACTCCCCCTGCTTGTGTTCCCTCTCTCACTGTGTCTCTCTGTCAAGTACATAAAAAAAAAAAAAAAGAAAATTACATCTTATGTACTAATTTATCAAAGTTTAAAGTTAGTAAATACATTTTACCCTCCTCTCAGACTGTTCAGGGACCTTAAAGCACTAATAACACTCCCCCCAAAACAGATAGTATTCTGTGATGTATTTTAATTTTATTGTTTTTAAACCTCATACTATGTTGTTTTTATATGTAGCCCTTGTTTATTAGACTTACCCATATTTTGCCACATTTTTCCTTTTTCTGAGAGTATATTCTTTAGAATTTATCTTTGGTGTGTGCTGGTTTTTGTCTGAAAACTTTTTAATTTGGTCCTTACTCTTTTTTTTAAATAGCTTTATTGAAATGTAATTCACATACTATACAATAACCCATTTAAAGTATATAATTCAATCGGTTTTGGTAGGTTACAATTTTAATTTTTTAAGTTGTGATTAAATATATATAAGTGTATATAGTGTAAAATATATATATTTTAAGTGTATAATTCTGTATAAAGAACACTTTTGTTCTCTAAAGATATTTCTGCTATTTATAGAATTCCAGGTGGAGGGTTATTGTATTTCAGTACATTGTAGGTATTCCTTTGTTAGCTGGCTTCAATTGTTACCTCTTTGTAGATAACATGTCATATTTTGGCAGGCTGCTTTTTAAGATTTTCTCTTTGTCTTTGGTGGTCTGTGGTTTACAATGACATACCTAGTTTATATAATATACTCTTTAAATGATCATTCTGCTTGGTATTTGTGGGGCTTTTTAAAAAAGAGGATCAAGGTCTTTTACCATTTGATTTTTTAAAAAATATTTATTTTTTTTTAGTGAGAAAAAGTGTGGGGGAGGGTGAGGGAGAGAGAGTGAGAGGATCTCAAGCAGCCACCCCACTGAGCAGGGAGCCGAAGGTGGGGCTTGATCTCATGACCCCAAGACCACGACCCTGAGATCATGACCTGAGCCGAAATCAATAGTCAGAAGCTTAACCAACTGAGCCGCCTAGGTGCCTCTCTTTTACCATTTTAAATACTGCCTTTGTCATAATCTCTCCTCTGCTTATGATTCTTAAACATATTTTAGATCTTTTCACCCTATTCTCTCTCTTAATCTCTCATGTACCTTCCATATTTTTGCCTTCCTATGCTGCATTCTAGATAATTTCTTTACTCTTTCTTCCATATCAGCACATCTCTCTTCAGGTGTGTTTAGTCTCCTGTTAAATTGGAATTTATTTTGGAATTTACATCCAGTTTACAGCTCAGGAAACCGAGAGTCAGGTTGAGTAACTTCCTCAAGATCCCCCAGCTTGTGAACGGCATAGTCAATGCCTACAACCTGCTCTGGTGGACTGCACAGCCCAGGCTCCAGACTTGCACTGAGCACTGCTTTATCATGTTTATGAGCACTGGGTGGATATTTATGTGAAGCATGCACATTATTTTTTGGTTTATACTTTCTAAAACTTAAGCGCTCAAATTTCTTTTTGATCTGTAGTGTTTTCTTTGTTCTAACCTAGCTTTGCCAAATTCATTTCCACTGTTTCTCTGGTCACTTTCTATGAATATCTGCTGAAGATTTTTCACTGAATTTCCTGCATATTTCCACAAATACTGCAACAGTGCTGAAACCAGAATATTTCTTAGAAGCTCTGTGGTGCAATCAGGTATTTCTTTGTAGGTATGCCTTTTAAGGCATTATTATGTGCAATTGCTTTTGTTTTTAGGTCTGATTAGTAGAAAATGTCCTAGGGATTGTCATTAATCTGAGAGACTATGATAAGGAATTATCAAATGAATGTTCCATACAGAAAATTTGAGGGTACTACAGCACATTTCAAGGTTGAGTGTGTCTCGGGTATGAACAGAGTAATGGGAATCAGCCATTCTTCATTCTGATTTCTCATGCATCTTTGTGTTCCTCTGTCTGCCTTCAGGGAAGTCATAGCTGGGCTCTAGCAAACATAGTAGATGTATCTGTCATGGCTTAGCATTTGTGTTACCCAGGAGCTTGATTCTGATTCCCATACCCAGAAGAGAGTTTCTACATTTTTATAGGAAATAGAACTTAAAAAGAGCCAGTATTTGTAAACCGTTGATGGTCAAGAAGAGGAAACTGAATGTTTCTA